ACGGAATCTTCTCAAGCTTGTAGCAATCGTATAGAACTAGGCGCTCGAGCTTTGGGAAATGGCATCTCTCGGTTATCCATACACGGAGATCCGTGCTGTCGATCACAAGTAACTTTAGCTGACAGAATCCCCCTTCGGTTGTTTTCCACTCAAATCCATCACATGCGTGTCGTTTCAATTTGAGTACTTCAAGATTAGGCAACGAACCAACAATTGTCATCTCGTTCCATTTAAGTCCACATCCGCTAAAGGTCAACTTCTTCAGTGCCACTGGGAAAGAAATATTGTGAGATAAATCAGTGTCCACATAACCAAAGGACTTCCCATACAAGTTCAACTTCTCAAGCTTATGAAGATGGACGAGATTGCTCAGGCCGTACTTTGACCATCCTGTTTCGTCTATCTCGCTAAATGAATAAAATATTCCCAACTTCTTTAGGTTTGGCATCGCTTCCAATCTTCGTTTGGAGCACCTAAAGCTCTTGACGCGTGTAAGTGTCTGCAAGTATTCCAATGCTAGAATTCCACAAGATGTTTCTGCAGAAAGATCGGGTAAGACACCATCAAACAAGATTAGATGCCTTAATTGTGGCATTTTCCAAATCCCAAATGGCAGATATGAAGTATGAGTGGTTGCAGCAAGACCGACATGCCTAATGATTAATGTTTGAAGATTCTGAAGACTGGATAAGGATGCGGGCACCTCAAACTTGCCTTTGCCGATGTATTCAAAGGTGAAAGCGAGGTATCTTAAGTGAAATAATTCACCTACCTCAACAGGATACGATGTCAACACGACGCTCGATGTATCCAATACCCTGAGAAGTTGAAAACTTCTCAATGAATTTAAGGTCCCATTTTGAAAAAGAAGAATAGTATGGATTGATGAGCCGTAGAGGATTGGAAACCCGCTCCAAATATTTGTAAAAATACTTAGGCGTCGTAAACTCTGCATACCTTCTGAAGAGTGTGGGGAAAGCTCATTTTTTACATGAAGAAATTTCTCGTCCCGAGACTGTCTTATACAAAGATCTCTTAAGAGATCGTGGATCTTGACAGCTTTGACTCTTCCGTTAGCACTATTCCTAGCAACCAAAATGAGGCTTCTCTTGGCCAAATCTTCCACATATTCCTCTGCCACTTGTTCCAAATCTTTAGATGTGTTTGATTTCAGAAAACCTTCTGCCGCCCATAGTTTGATGAGTCTAGAGACATTGATCTCATAATCATCTGGAAAACTGCCCATGTAAAGAAAACACGGCCTTAAATGATGAGGCAAGTGTGTATAACTCAAGTGCAATATCTCTGAGAATGGCTCGCCGCTCGTATTTACAGCTTCATTTACATTTCTTGCGATATTTGCCCAAGTCTTTTCCCCCCGATCAACCTTGGAGAGGACTCCAGCAATCACTACGATTGCAAGAGGGAGCCCTCGGCAGTTTTCTGCAATCAACATTCCAATCCTCTCCAATTCGGCCGAGCAATCTTCATCTTCATGTGCAAACACCTTCTCTTTGAGTAAACTCCAACTTTGATCCACATCCATCAGATGCATACGGTGAGGATTCCTTGAGAAGTCGACGTAGGAAGCCACGTTGAACTCCCTCGTGGTTACTATGATCCTGCTCCCGATCATCACATCCGGAAATACCCTCCTTAAATCATCCCACTCATCGAAATTCCACATATCATCCAACACTATCAGATATCGCCTACAAATTAAGTACTTATGTACACGTTCTTCCAACCATGCGTCACTCATCCCTTCGAATTGCTCCTTTTTAGATGGATCGAACGCATGTAGAAGCACCGTTAGAATTCTCCGCTTGCTGTAATTTTGAGATATCGTCACCCAAACACGAACATCAAAGTGATGGTCCGTTAAAGGGTCGTCGTAGGCGTATTTAGCCAGAGTTGTCTTCCCAATACCTCCCATTCCGAAGATTGGAATTATTTGAAGCTTCGATTTTGGCTCCCCACACAGCCGGCCTTTTATCTCAATCAGGTCTTGTTCAAACCCCACCACCACTGTGTGTTTTCTGTCGAGTACCGATGACAAAAAATCAGGGGTGTGATTCGACATCAAATCTTCACTTTCGTCACTGCTGCTGCTGCTGCTTTTAATCTGCTTCACTTTTATCAAAATTGAATCAATTTGAAACATTACAAATGTTAACTCTTGGTACAGCCTGGCCCAGTTATAACGGCGTGAATACAAACCACCAGATTTGTGAGGATGATTCAAAAATTCTGAACGAATTTCGTTCGAAATATGGTACTCAATGATATCCTCTGCTCGATTTGCCGCAACTATGATCTCTTCTTCTAAATCAAATTTGAATGCCTTTTTGGTAATATTCGTATGTAAATTTAACAGCATGAGAATATCTCCGTGTAGATTTAACAGTCTTACCTTGTGACGATCGAGGTCGTCTTCATCATGATGCAGGATCTGGTCTAGTACTTGATCCAGTGAAACAAGAGCAGTATAGGCCATTTTTTTTTTACGATGCCGGTGCCGAACGTCCGAAAATTTAATCTTTTGATATCAGATAAGAAAAAACAAGAAAGAAAAAAATTGCAGTGGTTCTATCTCTGTTGTATCACTCATTCATCAACACACTCACATGGCCATGGGGTGTGTGTTTGTATGTGTGGACTTCCAAGCAATCAACAATTCGGAAGTCGTCTTCCATAACAGAAAATAGTAGTTGGCAAGTCAACTGGATATTTTAACTTTCGGACTCTTTGATAGATACTAAAAACATTACAATAATACATTAATATTTTCACCATCTCAAATAAATCCAAGATCGTTCATCATACTTTATAATCTAAAAAATGTCATATTTCACTATCTTCTTCTTACTACACAATACATATTTCATTCTTTTTTTTTTTATTATTATTATTATTATTTTAAACTTTTTTTTTTCTTTTATCTCTGTCACCGTCACGTGTATTAATCAAGTATAGAGCGTGGTTGATTAAGGTGGTGTTTGCAAATGCTTTTTGAAAGTGATTATGCGGTTTTTTTTGCTCATAATCTGTTTTTAGGTGTTTGCAAAATCAACTTTTGCTTTTGATTCTCTTAAAATAATCTGTTTTAAGCTATTTTTCTAAAAGCACCCCTAACCCTGCTTTTTCAATTTTAGTTCATTTTCCGAAATATTTGCAAACACCCCCAACTTTTAGAAATAAGCACTTAAAACTAACTTAATTCACAATCACTAACTTCTGCTTTTAAATAATCATTTACAAACACCACCTAAGAAAGTTTATCTATCAAATATAATTTTAGGTAAATAGCACTTAACCCCCTTGTGGTTTCATAATTTTGCACATCACCCCCTTATGGTATTAAATAAGATACATAACCCACTCAAGATTTAATGAAAGTGGCTCCCGTCAGATTTTCGATCCAATCTACCGGTGTGCGAGAATCACTCTCCCCAAATGAGAGTGGTTATGATTAACTCTCAACATAATTCTTTCAAAAGACTAAAAGACCCCGTCCTTCATTTTTCCTTTTTCTTTTATTTTTTCCTTACTTTTCTATTTGTATTAATACTTTGTTTTTCCTCTATCACATACGAAATTAGAAAATCTGTTTCCGACTCATATAAAAAAGTTATGAAATGTAGCTAAATAATAATAACAAAAAAAAATTTGTATATAATAATAAAAAAATAACATAAATAATAATAATAATAATAATAATAATAATAATAATAATAATAATAATAATAATAATAATAATAATAATAATAATAATAATAATAATAATAATAATAATAATAATAATAATAATAATAATAATAATAATAATAATAATAATAATTATTATTATTATTATTATTATTATTATTATTATTATTATTATTATTATTATTATTATTATTATTATTATTATTAGAAGAAGAAGAAGAAGAACAAAGAATATGTTTATTTTAATTAATATTTAATTTCCAAAATTATTTTCAAGAATTAAATTTGAAAAATTAGATATTGTTAATATTGTATACAGTTCCCTAAAAAAAGAATATTATATATAGTTCCCCTTTTGATTCAAGCGGTTCTTTGATATAACCCCTCAATACTTCTTTTATTAAGGAGAGACTCAAACTATTTTGCACCATTTAAGAAAAACTCCTTCCTAATTTCTGCCACTCGTTTTTTCAATTATGCCCATGTCACCTCATCAACACTATAACCAATTATGCACCTGCCACCTCATTAGCCATTTTTTTTTTTGATTTTTTATATTTATAATTTATTTTAAAAAAAAATTCATTTTTTAACCTCTTTTTTTTCTCTATCAGGTATATTAATCGACTTTGAGATATAAGCATAGTCAATTAAGAATCTGATTATTAAAAATAACAAATGACAACTACAAAATAATACAAAATCAACTATATTTTGCAAAAACAAAAAATGTACAAACATTGTAATTGAGTTATACTATTGGAATCAATTAAAAAAAATGGAGTTGATTGACCTTAATCGATTAGCAGAGCATAGTCGATTAACTTAATCGACTATTGAAAACGTACATAGTCGATTAAGGTTCCAACATGCGGGAATTTCTCTACCCGCGCGCGTTATCCGCCTGATCCACCAAAAAACCATAAATCTACCTCCCCATCGTCACCACACCACCGCCACACCACACTTTGTCAACCATAGTGGGAGTTCGATCTCCCAGTCTCCGAGTTTCAAGAACCGAAATCCTCCATTAACGATTTTACTGAAGAACTCCATTAAAATATAAGAAGCAGAAAAGAGAAAAAAAAAACATAGAGAAGAGAGAAGATGAAGAATCTGGAAATTCATACTTTGTTCCCAACAAACTGTAATCTTTTCAAAATCAACAGTAAATTCTAATAGATCTACTCACACTCATGACATATTTGCATAAATTAATCTCATAATAAATTGGGTGTTGTTTTTTTCTCTCTTAATTTTTTACGCGATTTATTGTAAGAAAAAATAAAATTAAAAAAGATATTAATGTGTATACGGCTTCAATCCCGTTGATGATATGAGTGACAACCTTTTCCATTTGTACAAAGAAGAGAGAGAGAGAGAGAGAGAGAGAGAGAGAGAGAGAGAGAGAGAGAGAGAGAGAGAGAGAGAGAGAGAGAGAGAGAGAGAGAGAGAGAGAGAGAGAGAGAGAGAGAGAGAGAGAGAGAGAGAGAGAGAGAGAGAGAGTACCGTGGAGAAAAAAAAGATGAGGAAAAATGAGAGAGAGTGTGTGTGTACATGAAAAGAAGAAGAGAAGGAAAAATGAGGAGAAAGAAAGATGAAGAAGATGAGGAAAACTAAGGAGAGAGAAAGAACAAATGTACGTAGAGAAGAAGAAGAAGATGAGGAAAATGAGGAGAGAGTGTATTGGACAATTCAGGATAATTTTGGAATTATGAAAATATTACTTGGGTGCAATATTAGATAAGGGGTTTTCTCTAGTTATTTTTGCGAGGGGGTGTTTCCTTAACTACTTTTCCTAGATGAGGCGGTAATTGCTAATTTTCCCATGATTCAAAGCTAGAAAAAAAAACTATATTTTAATGTAAAAACTTGTTTAAAAATGAGGTAGTGGAATTCAAAAAAGGGTTGGATAAAAAACACCCATGTACTATGGACTTTGTATCATATACCCCTGTACTATACATAAATACAAAAACACCCCTGTTGTTACAACTTTTTCCAAAATCTGACGAAAATACCCCTGCTAAAGCCTATAAATATAAGAGTTTGTTTGAGCGATTTTCACTATATTTTTTTAACATTTTCAGTCAATTTTACTTGGGAAATTTTGGTATTTATATTTTTTTTCTCCAAAACATCTAATTGCTTAAATTTTTTTTTAATTTTCTAAAAAATAACCTTTTATTTTTGTCATTTTGAATTTCTTCATTTTTTTTTCTTAAATGTCTTCCGGTAGTTCAAATTCTCAACGATCATAGGATTGTAAAGATGTTTGTAATCTTAGAATGTTTGAACTACCGGAATACATTTAAGAAAAAATATGAAGAAACTGAAAATGACAAAAATAAAAGCTTTTATTCAGAAAATTAAAAAAATCTAAGCAATTAGATGTTTTGTAGAAAAAAATATAAAATGCGTTTGGAAGCGTTTTGGAACTTATTTTGATTTCATTTTGAGAAAATATGTTTTGGGGGAAAAAATTGAGAATGAAAGTAATGTTTGTTTATATTTTGCAAGGAGAATTAATTCACTGTTGCAGTCAAATCATGTTTAAGGGTGTTAGAAAAATGTATTTTAGAAGAAAAAAATTGAAAGATGAAGTGATGTTTATTTATTTTTTAGTGAAGACATTTTTCATTGTAGCAGTCAAATCATTTTACTGTATCAATCACATCATATCTGAAGAAGAGAGAAACTTTTGATATTGGTTTGAGAAAATTATTTGAGAAGTGTAATAAATACAATTTTGTTTTGGGAATCAATGAAAACAAAATGAAAACACTTCCAAACATTGGCCAAAATTTCCCAAGTAAAATTGACTAAAAATGTTAAAAAATATAGTGAGAAATGGATCAAACAATCCATAATATGTATGATTTTAGCAGGGGTATATTCGTCATATTTTGGAGAAAATGTAACAGTAGAGGGGTTTTTATATTAATATTTAATGCACGCAGGTATATGATACAAAGTCCATAGTAAATGGTGGTTTTGTATTTAGCCCTAAAAAAAATTCATAACTTTTTTCATCCTTAATATTGATTCGAAATCAAATAAGTTTTACTGTTCTAAATTTGAATAAACTGTCAAATGTATAAAATAATGGGGAAATATGCAATAGCCCCCTCAAATGGAAAATATTTTGAACTAAACCCAATTGACTATTAAAGACTTTTGCCTACACCCAAGTTTCATTCTTAATTAGTGAGACACCCCTAACCATACTTGATAAGACTAAAGTGCCCTTATGTGATTAGGTTTTTAACGTGATATAATTTATTTCACTCCTTCACTCCCCCTCTCTCTCTCACGTTCTCAATCTCTTCTCATCTCCTCTCTTTTTTTTTTCTTTTTGACATGAGACTGGAGAATATTGTTTCGATTAGAAGATCCGATCACCAAAAATTGGATCACTGTATTTTTTCCTAATCTTATTGTCTATATGTATATGTAACTGTGTGTATACTTTTGAAGGTGTGAAGTTAACGGTGTTTGTGCTTATTTATGTATTGCATAAATAAGTGCTCTAAAAATCCACGTGGAAGAGGAGCTATGTGATTGGTGTTGAAGAAAAGTTGGGTGAAAAATATCAGAAATTGTTTGGAATTGGATTTTTTTTTTTTTTTTTTTTTTTTTTTTAATTTAGCCTATGGATTATAATATTTGGTTCGCAATTTACGAGCGTTTGTTTTGTTCAGAGCAAAATGTATGGGGTTTGTGTCGTCCGAGTTGTATCTGATTTCATTTTATTTCGATTTACAGAGTAGTCACATAATAGTCATATTCTCA